GCCACATTGACTACATCAAAGCACATTCACCATTTTCCCTAATTATGTTTGTCCCTTTTCACCTCCACCAACCCCTTCGCAACTAGATACCAGATGAGGGGAGAAGATAAAGTTGTCTTTGTGCATTACAACTGGCGCACCATTCATGCCACTTAGTGAGAATTTCAACTCTCAAAACGAAATACCTTTGGAGTTTGTTGTTAAATTGGTAAGAGAATTTGTAATAATTATTAATAATGAAAGGAAACAGCCAGTGAAAAGGATAAGGAACAAGCGACTATTTCGACTTGTGGACAAAGTCCTGCAGAATTGGCTCCAAATGTATTCTATTTCTAGTACAATCCAAAGATTCTAAACAAAACAAACAGCCTGTAGTATCTGCAGGATAAATTGTTCACGTGTAACAAATATTACCAATTATTTATTTTTGGTAGAATTCTTTTTTAATTGTTTACTGGCAGTAAATGAGTGAATTTTTTTTCTATTCATGATAACGAAACAAGGTGTTCTTTTTCCTACTGCTAATGCTTTTTCAGGCATATATGTTGTACTTCTCGAGTCCCACTTCTTGTTTTCCAAAGGTGTCAAGAGTACAAGTGGGGCTAGTGTGAATTTTTTCTTTTTTCAAGAATTGGTTTGGTTTATTTTGAATCTTGTTCATGGGCAGTACTTTTTAGATTAGAATTTTTATGTAGAGATTAATCCACTCAAAACACAGTTTCGTCATGCTGCTAAGGTTGGAAAACAGTTTTCAACTTATTTTTAGGTGAAGAAGCACATCACCGATGTAATTATTGAGCACAAATAAAGATGATTCTTATAAAGATTTTTTTCAATTAGTTTAAAGAGATCAACAATGTCCTCACTTACAAAAAAACGTGAATGTCAAAACAAAGGTGTTTAGAGGGTAATCGATTGACCCCTCGTGATAGAGGTCGATTGACCTCAAAACCAAAAGAAGCAAGTCAATCGGCTGACCATCCACATCATGTAGGTCATACCATTGAAGCCACACTTGCCAATTTAATCACAACACTAAGAAATTCGTATTGGGTATTTATTTAAGCACGTACATTAAAATTTAAACAAATTTCAATGTTTAAAAGCTTTATGATCTTTGTATTTAGATAGAATTTTTGATAGGAGGTATACATTTGACGATTCTAAATCTAATTTACCACGATTTTAGCATGCAAAAGTTGTTCATATATCCAATCTTTAACAAAAAAACCCACATGAATCTTTTTATTTTTATTTTTAAAACTCATTTTTAATCACATGTTTTTTATATAATAATTTTACACGTAAATTCAAATTTTTTTTATATATTTTTTAACCACACCTTTTTTTAAAAAGTTACTATTCTAAAATACATTTCCCCAAAAAAATAGGGCTTAAAAAGCAGCATAGTATTCATTCACATTTTTCAATTAAAACATATCTCGCCCCTATTTGGTAGAAATTAAAATTCGATTTTTAATAGATTTTGATAAAAGTTGATAAAATGTGTGGTTTAAAATTAATGGATCTCATAAAATATGTGATTAAAATTAATTGTTCATTGTTGACTTTGACTTTAGATTTTAATCCAAACCGAACAATGGCCTACTCTATTAGTGATGGACAAAATATGCTTAACCTAGAGAACAAGAGCATGGAGGCCCAAGCTGAAGTAATGTTTACAAGCCCATCTTTTCTCTCACCTGTATATAGCCCACAATCAAAGCAAAATCAATTGGCCCGTTAACAAAGTTACAGCTACACGGGCCAGTTGATTTGTAACTTTGATTGTGGGCAACACCGAGCGCCTGCGCCACTTTATAAGTTGTAGAGTGCTTTTTAGTTCTAGACATGGTTCGGTTCAATTCGATTTTAAAAATAATCGAACTAGAATTTGAATTTTTGGATATTAGTAAATGAAATCGTAGCGTCTAAATTTAATTATGAAATCGAATCGATTCGGTTCGGTCTAATTCGGTTCCATACAGATAATTGATTTTTTTAACATTTACAACAACACTATATTAATTCAATTAATAACATGTTAAATCTTAGCTCTTACTACAACACTACATTAACTCTTATAAAATAACATATTCCAATTTAAAAATATAAAAATAACAAATTATCTAATAAGATCAATTCAACAATGTATACAAATGATCAAAAAGTAAATAATAACACTAAAGCATCGGTGATTCCATCTCATTGATTTAATTGAAAATCTAATTCCAGGTGTATGTTTAATTTCCTCTTAAAGTTAATTGTTAATAGTTGACTTTGACTTTAGATTTTAATCCAAACCGAACAGGGGCCTACTCTATTAGTGATGCACAAAATATGCTTAACCTAGAGAACAAGAGCATGGAGGCCCAAGCTAAAGTAATGTTTACAAGCCCATCTTTTCTCTCACCTGTATATAGCCCACAAACAAAGCAAAATCAATTAGCCCGTTAACAAAGTTACAGCTACACGGGCCAAATGATTTTGTAACTTTGATTGTGGGCTACACCGAGCGCCTGCTCCACTTTATAAGTTGAAGAGTGCTTTTTAGTTCTAGACATGGTTCGGTTCGATTCGATTTTAAAAATAGTCGAACTCGAATTTTTGGGTATTAGTAAATGGAATCGTAGGGTTTAAATTTAATTATGAAATCGAATCGATTCGGTTCGGTCTGATTTGGTTCTGTACATATAATTAATTTTTTTAACATTTACAACAACACTACATTAATCCAATTAATAACATATTAAATCTTAGCTCTTACTACAACACTACATTAACTCTTATAAAATAACAAATTCCAATTTAAAAATATAAAAATAACAAATTGTCTAATAAGATCAATTCAACAATGTATAGAAAAGATCAAAAAGTAAATAATTACACTAAATTATCGGTGATTCCATCTCATTGATTCTTTTGCTTCAAGCTTTCAAATATATATATAATAAACATAAATAAACAAAAATTTGTCCAACTAATAAGATTTAATATGAAAAAATATAATATATATTTTATTATTTGTCTTAATGTCCTCGTACAACTCCGTCTTTTCAATGCAAATTCTATCTTGAAAAATTCTCAAAAGTCTAGATTCTCAACTGTTTTAGTCTCAATTGATTAGGGAAATGATATTTTTAGGCTCAATTAATTAGTTGACAAATTTATTTTAAAAAAATTAAAAATTTGGTTTATTTAATATAAAAAATTTTAAAAAAATTAGGGAGATTCGGTTCTCATTCGATTCTTGATCCAGAACAGATAATCAAAACAAACTAGTCGATTTTGATACTCGTTCGGGTATTTAACTTAAGAAGAATCGGACTGAAACACTCGATTCGGTTTGGTTCGATTCATTCGGTTCGAAAGTTTGTCCAACCCTAGTGCGTTTTATAATGTTGAACAAAAAAAGCAATAGTGTAATATTGCCCTTTTTGGGTAGAAATAAGTTGTTGGTAAGTAATATTATATTGATGCTATGCATGTCACGTTTTTTAAATATCCTTTGATTGGCTAATTCTGCTTTAAAGGAGAAAATAATAATCTTGGTGGTTGTGTGATCTAATAATTATATTCTTCGAGTACTGTCCAATATCAAATTGATCAATAAGCATAATTAGCAAAACAATACCAATACGTTCAGCTTTGTAGAGACGGCGGACTTAAAATGCCACCTACATACGCTTTACGCTCATAAGATTCTCAACTTCACCTCTACGTAATTCACTCTCGCCAAATATTACTTACCCACAAAGATGTGACAAATGCGTATCACATACTCAAGATAGGGGGCAATTTGCTTAAACCATTCTTTGATTTAGCTAAAAAGTCGATAAAAAATATGTCAAAATCAATCATTAGTTTTAATCTTACATCTCATGAGATTCACAACTATTCTCGACTTTCCAACTACATATTTATTCAATTTTTATTAAAATTCACTAAAAAATTGATTTTTAGAAAAATTAAATAGGAACTAAAAGTTTAAAAATGTGACAGTTGCTTTGAAGAGGATCTAGGTCCTATCGCTGCTAATTATTCTCTTGGACCATTTTATTTCAAGTATGAGCACCCGTTTGGTCTCCATTAACTCACGAAACAATAAGAGGAATAATAATTTTTTTTTTGGAGAATGTATGGTTAAAAAAGAAGGAATTTTTTTTTGGATTTACGTACAATATAATTTTGTTAGAGAATGTGTGATTGATAAAAAGAGATAAAAAAATGAATTATAATTTAATGAGGAATAGTGAGGGCCAAACGGGGCTTAACATCACTTAAATGTGTTGATTTTTTATATGAAATGGGAGTTGACTTGATCGTAGCCTAAATCAAATTAACTATAATCCAACACAAATTTAAAAGGGAAAAATTCATAACTACACATGTTTAAGAATACAATTTCAAAATTAACAACTTTATGAAAAGTTTCAAAAGTCAGGTACATTTGTGACTTCTAATAAAATTTCGTGACCTATAATTTAAATTAAATAGTTCATCATCGCATAGCACATAATTTATGAGTCATAATCACACATTAAATCACAAATTACACAATATCACGGTTATATATCACTTTTCTTGATTTCCATATTCCTAGCCATATATTGTTTATTTTTCTCGATTCTTAACTTTCTAGTGATTTACAAAGACAAAAATGTATTCAGTAAAAAGTGAGACAAAAATTACGATATAATATTTAATCAAAAGATATTAATATTAATATTTATCAGCCAATAATCAATACCTAAAAAGAGAATCACTATTTATAAAATGGGATTTCCAATCAATTACAGCAGACAAACAAGTTGATATCAGCACCATTTCAACCAGAACAAACCTTGGCATATGAAGACAGGAATGCTTAATGAGTTTAACTTACTTTTGTTTTTAACGCGTATGAAAATTTCTTGAAATTCATATCATTTTTCTCACCTCTATACTCAAGATTATTATTCACACATATTTGTATTCAACGCCTGTTAATCTATCCAAAGATGCAGAAAGCTTGGTTCTATGAAGTGCATGGTCCTAAGGAAGTCCTCAAACTAGGAGACTTCCCAATTCCTTACCCAGTACAAAATCAGCTTCTTGTCCAAGTCTGTGCTGCTGCTTTGAATCCTATTGATTTCAAGTTGTGCTGTAACCCCCTTGTCTTCACAGATTTTCCAGTGAGTGCACGATAATCAACTTATGGCTTGTTTTCTGAGGACTTTGACCTGCACTCTGCTACAAGTTAGATTTTCACTAAGCTGATCAATCTCTTTTTTCTTTCAATGGCTGCCTTCTGTAGCCTTGTAAGGCGGGGCCACCTTATATCTATATAGACCAGGGGTGGAGGAGGAGAGCCGGTATGAGGGCTCCTTCTACCCCTTCTCTGATGAAAGAACGAAAAACAGGAAGACTCAACTGCCTTCCGAAAAGGGATGCAACTGCTTTGAAAAGACTATTGTCTCGCTTGCAAATATATATTTGGGCGAGATTAAGCCCCTGTTTGGTTTTGATAAAAAATAGAAATTTAGTAGAATTTGATAAAAGCTTATGAAATATGTTATTGAAAAATTGATAAAAGTTGTGAGTCTATTAAATGTATGGCTAAAAATGAATTTGTAAAAAAATGAGTTTTAAGAAATAGAGGTCAAACATGGGCTAAATTTATGACACGATACCTGATAGTATATTTATCATTGATTAGCACGAAGAATATATGGCCCCGCAAGAGTGTATCACTTTTGGAAAATAATAATTTGTTTAATCGATATAAGTTGTGATCCCGGTCTTTCATATAGTTCGATTCTAGAGAACGATGAGAACTTTAGTTTATATTTGGTGTATCGAATTAGACCGTATTAGGGATTTAATATAAAATTAGAGTTGATAGGAGTGGGTGGATGTTATTAGGGTGGATTAAGATGGACAACATTCTTCATTTTCAAGTATAACAATGCGAAGGGTGGAAATGGGTTGATGCTGGATAAGATAACATAGTGTAAATGATATTCTTTTGTAAATATTGTAATTAACATTCCATTTAAATTAGTGTATTTTACGAGTGTGTTTTTACTCACGAGTTTTATACAATTTTAATTTGATTGTTGGCTAAATCTTATGAGTATAGATTGCTTTTGATGTGTTCGTTAGTGTTATTTTATATGTTGGTGAGGTGGTGAAAAATGGTGCTAAAGTGAAAAAACAAACCAAAAAATTAAGGAAAATAAGCAGAAAGTCAACTCCTAGACGCCATATTTGGAATGCCCAGATGTTCCAAAACGAAAATTCCAATCAACAACACAACGCCCTGGCGCTGCAGTTGCCCATAAGTAGCAGGGGAAGAACAGAGATGTAGTGTTCAGGCGCTGCACTCATAGTGCCTAGGCGATTTGCATCGCGGCGCCTAGGCACTATGTTGCCATTTTAGGGTTACACTGTTGTGGCCAGGGAAAAGCCCAGAAATACTCTAAATTTGGAAAAAAAGTGTAGGAAAATATAAATAGATGAAACAAGAGATTGAAGAGCGTAATTGAAGTGAGAAAAAAATTTAAGAAATTCAAGTTTTGAAACATTGATTGAAAGAGTAAGAAGATGTTGGTGCAAGATTAATTTCTTTTTCTACATCTTTATTCAAAATCCGATGATCTATTCTTTTTATTCAAATTTTTTGTTATTTTATCATACATGTGTTGATTTTGTTATGAGTTTAATGCATTGAATTATTTGATCACTACTTTGATGATTTCGTGAATATTTTACGAATCGAGATGTGAGTTTGAAATTTAGATCATGTAGTAAAATTCGATTTATTAGCATAACGGGTAGAGATACCTATACTAAATAATGCGATCATCATATGAATTTTTAGAACGAATATTTCGTTTAACTAAGGTAGATTCACATAGACGAATGGATCAAATTAGTTAAATAGATTCAATGAAAACTCAAGATGGGTAAATTGAATACCATATAAGGGTTCAATCGAAAACTACATTAGACTCTTGAATCTTGAATTAAGACTTAAAGGTGATCAATAGGTGAAATTGTTCGACCCAAATATCCGTTCATTATTTGAATTCTAAATCAATCTTTGTGTACATTTTAATCAATTTCAAGTGTTTAAATAAAAAATTCACAACAACGTATAATTCTTTGTTTACTTTAATCAAATATGAGTTATAAAAATTTGATTAAATCCTAAAGTATAGTCCTCGTGATAACAATAATCTAGACTCAAAAATTGACTATATTACTTGTTATGATATTGTACACTTGCGATAGAAGAAAAAACGCAATAAGTTTTTGGCGCTGCTACCGGGAAACTATTTACTTTTAGTCTTAATTTATTTTATTTTTAACTTTTATTTGATTTGTTTATTTTCTTTTATTAACAGATAAAATGTGCTCATTGTATGTTCTGTACCCAAGGTGACGATCTTGAACCATTTGATTCGGAGATAGAACGTACTTTCAGACGAAAACGCAAAGAACATAAACAAAAATAACAACATCAAATGGCTGAAGATTAAAATATCCATATTCCTATATAGCCAATTGGACATGTTCCCGAGAGAGTAGTGGTACCACTGGATCAACAACATGAGCGTGTGGAACAAATGAAGGGGACTTGCCAGTTTCAATATTCTTGACGCCCATAGCAGCACCCGCATGCTCTAGTATAGTATATCTAGATTTTGGGTTGAACAACTTTCAGATAAGGACATATTAGACTAAATTGACCAATAATACTCTCCAATCTTATGGTCTAGCTCATGAAAACTCAAACACACATATCTCCAAATTTCTCAGAAGTTGCAGAATTTTCATCCCCTAAGGTCAATGAAGACGCTATCAAGTTGCAGTTATTCCCTATACATTGTGAGATGCTACATTGGAATGGTTAGATGTTGAACCTCATGGAAGTATACCACATGGGATGAACTAATTAGAAAATTCTGTAACAAATTTTTCCCACTGGCAAAAGTAACAAAAATCATATTGAAAATTCAAACTTTCCAATAGAAAGAAGGAGAGAGTTATCACGAGGCATGTAACATATTCAAGGAGTTAATGAGAAAGTGTCCAAATCATGGGATAACCATAGGCAATCAAATGCAATACTTTTATACCGGACTGTCACCATTGTCAAATTCTCAAGTGGATTCCTTTGCTGGTGGATCGATCATTGGAAAATTCGTAGAACAATGCATGAATTTGATTAAGTTATTTGTCATAACACATTCAATGTTTTCATCAGAAAGAGTGGTACCACTGAAAGCACCCCGAATTTATGAATTGGACATTACATTTACCAACGTACAGATTGCTGCTTTAACAAAGTAGGTGGAGTCACTTGTAAAATTGAAAACACATGGAACAAATGCAGTGATGGTCAGTTCAGCATGTGAGAATTGTGGAAGAAATCACGCTACATAAAATTGCTTGATACTTGTTTTTTCAGAGGAACAAGTAAACTTTATTCAAAATGGTTCCCGCAATTTCAACACATATGTGAATAATTTCCAACAAGAGAAAAGACTAAGTTTGAGGGAGATGTTTCATCAATATATGCAGAAAACAGACAAAGTATTCCAACAGATTGATACCAATTTTCAAAATCAGCAAACATCTATCAAGAAGTTGGAGATACAGATTGATTAGATGACTCAAAAACTTGCGGAACGTTCATAGGGATCATTGTCAAGCAATATAATGACAAATTCTAAAGAGCAAGTGATGGAAATAAGAGTAGTGGAAACAGATCCACCCAGGGTTCCTGTAAAAGTTAAAGCATATGTACTTTCACTTCCATTCTCCCAAAGATTTCAAAAGAAGTCGATGGAGAAAAATATTCATGTTATAACTACAAGGAGTGGTTTACAATCACAAGAGATTACTGCGAAGATATGAGAAAGAAAAGATGACCATGAAGATGTTGATGAAGCTACAATAGAAGAAAAATCTGCACCAGCCTCGATTGAGAATGAAAAAAAGTAGAGAAACATCCATTGCCAAGGCACCAAGTCTAGTCAAGGCTTACGTACCTCCCATTCATTTTCCTCAAAGGCTCAAGAAGAACAAACAAGACGCAAAATTTGAAAAATTTCTTGATTTTCTAAAAAGCCCCAGATCAACTTCTATTGATTGATGCGATATTACAAATTTCAAACTACACAAATTTTTTGAAAGAGATGTTGACAAAGAAAAGAAAGCTTCCCGAATTTGAAATTGTGGCATTAGTGGAGGAAAATAGTGCAAGAGTGCAAAACAAATTGCCTCCCAAGTTGAAAGATCAAGGGAGTTCTACTTTACCTATTTCAATTGGAAATTCTTGTGCTATTAATGCATTGTATGACACGGGTATTAGTATAAATCTAATGTCATATTCTGTTTACAAGAAAGTGAGATGGGTGAATCAAATCAACATCAATAACGCTACAACTAGCTAATAGAATAATTTCAAAATCACGTGGCAAAGTTGAGGATGTATTCATAAAATCAGGAAATTTAATATTTTCGGTGGACTTAATTGTGTTGGACATATCAGAAGATCGAGACATTGCAATTATATTGGGTCGGCCATTCTTAGCAACGGGTCGAACCCTGATTGACATGGAGAATAGTGAGCTAATATTGATGTTGGAGCACAAGCAAGATATATTTAATATTTATAGTTAATTTTGAGCAACCTTCCAACAAAAATGATAGCGTAGAATTAATAAAGAAGAGCTAATTGATCTACGAAGCTGTCAAAATAGAAAATCAAATTTTGATGGATTTTTTGGTAGAGATGAAAATGAAAATATCAAAATATGGAGAGCAAAAAAGGGCGCATAAATGAAAATTGCACAAAGTGCAAGGATGTCATTCCTTGGTTTGAACCGCACAATTAAATATGGCAAAAAGTCAATCTAATGATTTTAAAGAATCGCTTCTTGAGACGAAACCCAAGCTCTATTCCTTTCTTATTATTTAGTTTTTATTTTTATGACTACTTATTTTATTGTCATAACATTCTCGTTGTATTTGTTGTAAGTTCTCAAATTTGTGGGTAACAACATGGTTAGAAAGACAATCCATATCCATCTCATCAGGATGATGGCAAGGACACAAACTGATGTATTCGGGAAACTCCTAAGCCTCATTTGTATTTATTTTCATATTGGAGACAATGTGTATTTTAAGTTTGGGGGGGGGGGGGGGGGGGGGGGGGGGGGGGGGGGGGGGGGGNAGGAGGTGAATCATCAGTTGTTAATTATTTTTGTCAATTGTTTGGTATTTTTGTGTTTGTGTGCTTGTATGATATAATTTTATTTTGTATGAAAAAATTCTTTTTATGCGTGCTTGTGTGAGTTAAATGACTTTGTCTGCCGGATGAATATATTTGAAAGCATGCATTAGTTTATGAATTGTGGATGAATCGTGTGTTTGAGTTTCTGTTTATCCATGTGAATATGACAATATTTATGCACGATAATTAAGTATAGCGTCGTACAAAAACATAAAGATTCATATGCATAGGCTAAATATATAACTTAGATGTTTAATCATTTAACCCATGATTCACAACACCTTTAACCGTATACATAATAATTTTGAGCGTTTTAACCGGTGAAAGAAATGATTTAAGATTGTGGTAATTTCGTGCATGCGAAAAAGATTTTTGTGGAGTATCTTTAGCCTTTTAGTATAAGTTAGGTGATGATCAAATGCTAAGGATCTAACCCTTGTAAATTTTACTTTTCTTTTATAGAAAATAAGTATTACACTTATTGAGCTCATGCTGACACCTTTTTGACTTGAGTTAGTAAGTGCGTAGGGGTATCTTGAATCTTGGTACCCTTTGGTACTCAAAAGTAGGGAAGTTACCGACTAAAAACTCGTTACAAGGGTTAATAAGAGAAAAATGGGCGAGATCAATCTTGGGTTGAAAATAAATTTAAAAAAAGGAAAAACTTTATGCAAGTGTGCAAGTAAGAATTCATTGTTGGGGGCATAGATAATTAGTGGTTTTGAATCACCTAGTATAAACTAGTTTGTTGAAACACACATAAATTGGAAGAATCATTACATGAATAAATTGTTGACGTCGCCGGTTGAATGAAACCAAATTAGAGTGGTGTAAGGAATTGATAAGTGAAACCAAACTTTAGAATTACACTATGGCGAGATAATGAAAGAAAATAAGTTTGGGGTGTGTGAATTTCACGAGCGAAGAAAGGAAATAATTAACCATTGAGGGTTGATAATTGAACCAAATTGTGAATATGGGCATTACACTTGATTCTTTATACACACCTGTTTTGCATTGGATAAGTGGAAGTCTAGATTTTGCGTTGTGATTTTGTAGTCGTTCATAAATGTGGAGCCAAATTGCAAGTTATTGGACCAACTTTTTTTTTTTTTGTATTTTTTTCTCTTAGTGATTTTTTTTCTTTGTGTTTGCTCGAGAACTAACAAATCGTTAAGTTTGGGGGTATTTGACGAGTGTGTTTTTATTCATGGGTTTTATACAATTTTAACTTGATTGTTGGCTAAATTTTATGAGTATAGAACACTTTTAATATGTTTGTTAATATTGTTTTATAGGTTGGTGAGGTGTTGAAAAATGATGTTAAAGTGAAGAAACAAGCCAAAAAACTAAAGAAAATAAGCAGAAAGTCGGCGCCTAGGCATCATATTTGGAGTGCCTAAATGAAGATTCCAATCAACAACACGGTGCCCAAGTGCCAGAATCCAAGCGTTGCAGTTGCCCAGAAGAAGCATGGGAATAACAGAGATGTAGCACTTCGGCGCTGCACTCATAGCGCCTAGGCGCTGCCCAGATTTGCATCACTACGCTGCCTGTTTTAGGGTTACATTGTTCTGGCCCGCAAAAAGCCCAAAAATACTCTAAATTTGGAAAAAAAAATATGTAGGGGAGTATAAATAGAAGAATCAAGGCACTTTTAGGGGGTTCCACACATTTAGAAAAAAATAAATAAATACAATTAGAGATTACAGAGCGTAATTGAAGGGAGAAAAAAAAAATCAAGAAATTCAAATTTTGAAGCATCGATTGGAAGATGAAGAAGATGTTGGTGCAAGATTAATTTCTTTTTTTCTACATCTTTATTCAAAATCCGATGATGTATTTAATAAAACTTCTTGTTTTTCTTCTTCCATCATTATGAGTAACTAAATTTTATATTAAGATGAACAATGTAATCTACTTGAGACCCTTAATTTCTTTTATTCAAGATTTTTGTTATTTTATCATACATGTGTTGATTTTGTATGAGTTTAATGCGTTGAATTACTTGATTACTACTTTGATGATTTCGTGAATCTTTTACGAATCGAGAGGTGAGTTTGAAATTCTGATAGTATATTAGTATAACGTGTAAAGATACCTAAACTAAATAATTTGATCGTCATATGAATTCTTAGAACGAATATTTCGTTTAACTAATGTAGATTTGCATAGAGATATGTGATTGAATTAGTTAAATAGGTTCCATGAGAATTCGAGAGGGGTACATTGAATACTATAGACAAGTTCGATCGAACACTACATTAGACTATTGAATCTTGAATTAAGACTTAAATGTGATCAATATGTGAAATTGTTCGGCTCTAATATCCGTTCGTTATTTGAATTCTAAATCAATCTTTATGTGCATTTTAATTAATTTCAAATGTTTAAACCAAAAATTCACAACAACGTATAATTCTTTGTTTACTTTAATCAAATAGGAGTTACAAAAATTTGATTAAGTTCTAAAATATAGTACTCGTGGGAACTATAATTCGGACCAAATGTCCACTATATTACTTGTTACGATATCATACAATTGCGATAGAAGAAAAACACAACAATATTGGATTTTTTTTTTAAAGGTCAAAATCTTGTATGTTGTAAGGTTTTCAAGTCTAATAATGCGTATCAAACTTGCCATTATCGATTATATGTTCTTGTGGATATAATAAGGTTCAAAGCAATTTTAAGTTAAAACTATGATACATACGGCATTTGTCGCAGGTTGTTCCTGGTTGTGACATGGCTGGTATTTAGGTAGGAAAAGGAGATCATGTTTCAAGATTTGAAGTTGGCGACGAGGTATATGGAAACATCCAGAATTTCAATGCAGAGGGAGAATTTAAGCAACTGGGGACCTTGGCACAATTTATTTTCGTGGAGGAGAATTTGGTGGCATCGAAGCCAAAAAACCTTTCATTCCAGGAAGCAGCCAGCTTTCCGGTGGCAGTTCAGACGGCAGTGGAGGGCTTCAAAAGTGCTGGTTTTAAAGAGGGGCAAACAATCTTTATAGTAGGAGGAGCTGGTGGTTTTGGAAGCCTGGCTGTTCAGCTAGCCAAGTTTCTGGAGAAATTTTGGAGATCTTAGGGAATGTTTGGAGAGTGGAAAGTTACAGCAGTTATTGATCCAGTTGGTCCATTCCATTTTTGTGATGTTATTAAAGCTTTTGAATATTTAGAAACTTGAAGAGCCAGAGGAAAAGTTGTCATCTCCCCCGTCTCAGTTCCATATCTGACCTCTAAATTTTGTAACTCAAAACTTGTTCCTCAGAGAAGTTTATCTGATACTAGCACAGATTTGTATTTATTTGACTCATCTAAGGGAAAGTGTTGGACCATTACACGATTTGTTCAAGTCTTCCTTGTGCAGGATTATGCTAATCTTATCTTTTCATTTTTCCCTCTCTTATTTTCAATCATACATTTTTCAATAAAATAATATTACATTCAAACCTAAAATATTTCCTTATTTTTTAACTACACATTCTCCATCAAAATACTATTCCAAAATATATTTTGTTGAGAAAATGGGGCTCAAACATGCAGTGTGAAAGCTACCTCATGCTAGCTTTCCCCAAAAGCTTTCTAGTCGGACAAAGTATTTTCAAAAAATTATCGAGACATGTTCAAAAGCAATTTCTTAATCTCAGGAGCTGTTTTGAACTTTTAAAAGCCCTGCCAAATGGCCCTAAAAGGTTTGTGTTTAGTTGATGTGGAACTGAAATAGTTGAGTTGTATGTCGCACGCTAATAAGATTCCATTGGAAAGGAGCCCACATGCATCATTTTTATTTTTAATTCTTCTTTAAAAGAAATGATAAGATCAAAAGTGGACCATAACAAACATAAGGGGAGGATGTTAATGCATTGCTAATAGACAAGTTAAGAAATTATTAGCACGTTTACCTTTTTTTTTGTTGATTTGTCAACTTTCCAAAATTTTTTGAAGTTCATAATTAATTGATCACGATTGATGGAGATTTCTGTCATAGATGAGATGCCATTTTGATCATGATTCATGCTGGCGTAGTAGATAGGAAAGTCCAGGACAACCTAAACCTAGTACATGTTTTTATATGTAAAACACTCTTGATAACTGTAATTTCTATATATATATAGATATGGGAGTCTCGTGCGAGTCATGTAAGATTCAAAGATCACATATCACCAAAATCCATATCATCATGGACAATCAAAACGGTTTAATGTACTTTCACATGACTAACCTAAATCACATTGACAAAGTGAGACTAGTAATCCAACCTGCCAGCCAACAGGGAACGTTCTCCCAGGAACCATCCTAGCTTCATGAAACAAAGCAATTTTTATCATCACCTTAGAACCATGACAAATGACGAACCGATTGCCTTGCAGAAAGATAAAGGGAAGCCAGCGAAATATAGACCTCAATTTTAGCTCTTACAAAAAAACGCAGTCCAATCTTTGATATCTTTTGCGCCTCTCTTTGTTGATTTATTCATAAATTTGGCCGTTAAAATCACAGGAAGGGGAAGATAACGAACTCACAATAATGAAGAGAGGCGCAACCAAGTTTTCAATTCGATTTCTCTAGAACGGTGCTATGGTAGAATAAGAGAATTGGGTAAAACTTAGGTAATTTGATTAAGTTGAGCTTGAGCTTTAAATTAGAAATTGAAAAATCATATTTTGGGTTTGAACTTAATTAATAGGTTAGCAAATTTCTTTAGAAAAAAATAAAATAATTTGGCTTATTTAAGATAAAAAAAAATTAAAGAGATTTGGTTTTTATTCGGTTATTGGTCTAGAATCAAGAATCGAACCAAACCCGTCGGTTCTTAATTCAGATGCCAGTTGGGGTATTTAATTTGAGAACCGTTCAATTCGGTTTAGTTTGAGAGTTTTGTCTGACCCTAATAGAATTATTGCAAAACCCCAACAAGATATTAAAAGTAAGAAATGAGCACAAGGATATGATTGAGATGAATGAACTGATTCAAGAATCATACATTTCAAGGCTCTCATACTTCCGGTCCGTGGTTAAAGAAACCTTTAGGTTTCACCCTGCTTTCCCCTTTTTACTACCTCACAAAGCTAACGCTGATGTAGAGATCAATGGGTACATAAATCCTAAAAAATGCACAAATTGTTGTAATCGTTTGGGCAAGCGAAAGAAATTTATACACTTGGTCAAATCTCGATTTGTTTATGCCTGAAAGGTTTTTAGATTGCAAAACTGATCTCACAGGTCAAGATTTTGAGCTCATTCACTTTGGTTTGGGGAGGAGGATATGCCCAGGTTTGCCATTGGCCCATCGGATGGTGCACCTCATGCTAGCCACTTTGATATGCAACTGTGACACTTGGAAGAGGGATTAAAACTAGAAGAAATTGACACGAGTCAGAAATTTGGACTTACTGTACAAAAGGCCACTACTCTCAAGGCTTTTCCTGTCAAATTGTGACCTTGTGCATATATCCCTGAAGATTGTTCCACCTGAGGTATATATTAAATCATAAATAATAAATTATCCATTTTTTTACAAGTGAAGTAGCTTTTTACTGTAGACGAAAAGAAAATGTTTTCATATAGATCACCTTCTCTAGGATTTTCCAATCGAATGTTGTTCAATAATTAAATATCTAGTGTGGAATAATTAAAAGAACAAATAGGCTGAAATTTTGAACCATGCGACCGCATGGTTCATTTCACCATGCGGTCGCATGGTCTCTTATAGGGACTAAAAGTCCCTGTTTGAACCACTCTATGCGACCACATAGAGTTGCTCTATGCGGTCGCATAGAGCAAAAATCCGACCGTTGGGGTATGTTTTTCCTCCAATTTCTTGATCGTTTGGGTTTAATTTTGGTGGCATTTTAGCATGGTTTTGGCATCATTTCGTGACGAATATTGGTAGCCTATAAATATGTGGTCTTGTTCATTAAAAGAATGCAATGTTGATGAAAAACATAAGAATATTATGATTCCAAAGAAATTGAAGTTATTTTCTTCTTCATATTTAAATATCCCTTTTTGTGTTCTCTTGTTGGGTGAATTATATTTGTGCTTAATTATAATTCTGCAACAAGGCTTGATAACTCCTACAAACTATTTGCCGGAATCCTTTAGCATCTCAATCAATCCGGAGAGGGTGCAAATTTAGTTTGAGGATAGCGATCACACGTTTAGGCCTTCCAATCTTGTTACGGTATTTTGTTCGTGGTTCGTTGCAGATTTTGGTGTATTTATTCTCCTATTTCCGGTGCCATTTCCAACACGGGCTCCTTCGACTAGAGGTCAGTCAATAGCGGCGGCCACTCTCGTCTATCGCTCGCATATGTCCTAATCAGTTGGTCAATCCGGTGAATTGCTTTCCATCTCTCTTTTGCTTGCCTACCTCATTTTCTTTGGTTTCTAGGTTAAGAGTGTTTTAACCTACTTTTTCAATGTTGAAGAAAAACACAATTTGGTAACATCTTGTATTATTGGTAGAATAAATTGCTCTAAATTTGAATATTATAATATGCTTGTCTAATGCAAGTAGCTTTGTTAGTTTTGCTACCAGGACGAATAGCATATAGTTCTATCTTTAACTCTTTGTACTATCGGGGAAATTTTAGTTTATTTTTCGCAACTTTAGTTTGAGGCACCCCTCCTAAGTATGGACTATACTTAATTTCACTTCTAATAAAACATGCCACATGTAGTGGTTAAAAAAAAAAAAAAACTTAGTTTTGCTTATTTTCTAATTCCATAAAAAAAAAGGAGAGAGAGAGAGAGAGAGAGAGAGAGAGAGAGAGATGGTAAGGTTGGTTAGTTTCCCTGAGCTAACAATTCTATTATTTCCGACCATAGGCATAAGAAGCACAAGGTTAATGGATGTATTCATGTTTCTTTAATAATTGACATGTGGTTTGTACATATAGAAGCATGAGAGCAAGGAAGTCATATACACTCTTCTCATTTCTGTTGATCTGTCCATGAATGCCAAAATAATAGGCATCGAAGGCTATGCGACTGACGCAGAAAATTGGGCACATAGCAGAGAGCAATGAGCATTCAATTTATTATTTTATTAAGTCCTATTTTTTCAAAGACCTGAGTACTCTTATTTATATACAAAATAAGATAAAATCCTATTCTATAATAAAATTTCAAAATATCATAAATTATAATATTGAGAATATGTTTTTTTTTCAAAGAATTTATTATTGTTCTCGTTATAGTATAATATTCATTGTTTTGAAAGCAAAAAGTTAATACCATTTTTCTTGTTTTGAATCTACTGTCTACACTACTTTTCTCGATAATAATACAACTTCTATTTTTTATTTGCCTGAAAAAATAAAAAAATTACAAGAAAAAAATGTGGACATGTGGCCATCTCCATTGATGCCAATTCAAGATTTCAACAACCAAAATTTATTTGAAAACTGAAATGAGCATGGTGAAGAAACTCTATTGTATTGGTGAATTGGCCAAATATAGCTTTTTTTACCCACGACTAGGGGTGTAAACGCTCCGGGTTTACCGGTTATTGACAAATTTTCAAACCAAACAGTTTAAACCGATTTGAGAAAAACTCAAACCTAAACCAAACCATTTTGAACGGTTTGAAAAAAACTCAAACCTAAACCTAAACCTAACGGTTTGGTCCGATTTTAAACTGCCGATTTCGCAGTATATTTTTTTATCTGTCTACTTTTATGACATTAATTCATTGAATTCATTATATATTTATATCTTACTAGCAATAAATCTAAAAAAAAAACTAAATATATCTACTAGAAATTTAAATACCAACTAAATCACAGTGAAATCACAATAAACTAAAATATAGTTTTTTATTTGCTATTTTAAGCTAAGACGTTACGATAACGTTACAATATATGTCTACTAAACTAAATATAAAGCCCAAAAAATATATTGATGTTCAACAAGACCTCGTGATCATCATATCTAAAAAATAAAACTACTGATTAGACAAAGAGAATACCAAACCATAATAATAAATCAATTGTTTATAATATCTAAACATAACAATTACACAAGTTTACTATTGTATATTGTTACGAATTCAGTTTCTCACATGTACTCAAACATTGATAA